GAAATTCCTCGGTAATTACCACACTCAGTCTTGTGCCCCTTCTTATGAATAGAAATAATTATGGATTCCTTCCATTGCTGTGGCATCTCTTCCCTATCCCAAATTAACTGAATAAGCTTATGGATCCTCATATGCAACCCTTTGCCACCTGCTTTAATTAATTCGGCTGGAATCTGATCAATTCCTGGAGATTTATAACTTTTCAATTTCCCAATGGCTAGTTCCACTTCATCTAAGTTAGGTTCTGGCACCAACAGTTCAGCTGTATGCATTTTAATCTGTCTAATATCACCAGTCTCATGAAAATTTAAGAGCTCGCTAAAGAAATTAATTGGACGATAATTATTTGCATCTTCTTTCCGCCCTTTTTTGTAAATTGGTTTAACAACTGATTTTTTTAATGTAGATGGGAATATGCCTTCTCTAACTGATGCATTGATCAAGTCTAACAGTGGTCTTATCATGTAAGGTACACATTTCTTTAGTAAATAGGGAGAAATGTCATCAAGTCCTGCTGATTTTTTATTCTCCAAACTCTGAATTACTGTAATCAATTCAGTCTCTGTTATTTCTAATAAGAAACATTTAAAGCACTTACTGTATTTCTTCTAACTTTTGGACAGGCTATATTAAAATAATAGTTAAAAATACTAGAGAATGAATCCCATTTTTTCTCCACATCATTATCCCAGAACACTTCAGTCCAAGTTTCATTTTGTATTAAAGAGCAAAGGCCTAGAACATTGGTTTCTGATACATTCCTTCCCTCTCTATAGCATCTAATTTGTTGTCGTATAGTCAGTCTATAATACACATACTGTATAGTAACAGCAATAAAATGTAAAATATCTCATAAGTATTTTTAAGTGCAAATTTACTGCATGTATGTACTGTCAAATATAACATGGTCCTCTGAAAAATACTCATATCTTTGTTAATGTATTTAATTGACTCTTAACAGGAGTGTTTTTGGACCTTTTATTGTGGTTTAAAGGAACATGGTAGTTACAAGTTACCGGTATTGAAATAACACTAGCTAGGGTTATAATTTTTGTAGTAGCTTATAGTTTAATAAATAGGGTGGGGTGGTATGGACTGAAATCATCTGGCTCAGGATGGGGACTAGTGGTGGCTTCTTGTGAACACGGTAATGAACCTTCTGGTTGCATAAAATGTTGGGAATTGACTTAGATCCGTGGAGTAAGAAAGATGTTTTCAAACGTCTTTGCCACGGTGAGCGTTAGAAGACGAATCAGATCACTTTAACACGTGTATAATCTTCAGTTGTTTATGTTTTTTTTCTTTCCGTGACGAGACAACACCGCAGTATGGAACAATTCGAAACTTTCATATGAGGGTCTGTTAAAGCCAGAAACCATAAAAGTAAATGAGCGCATTGTTTGTAATATCTTTCAGATCAGGCTAAAACTTCAAATGGGATATTTAAGCATGTGTTTATATATTTTGTCGTTATATCGATCAACAATTCAGTCAGAGTAGATTGTATTTAATATTTTCGGGTATTGTAGAAGACTAGAGCAGAATAAAATGTGTTGATTAAAACGCAACTAACCCCCCCCCCCCCGAGGGGGCGT